TCTTTTATGTTTGCCTCTCAGATTCCATCCGCTCCGGAGCCTGAGAGTAACTTTATCCTTTGTGTTCACTATCACCATCGATATGCCAGTGAGTTTCTACGCCTTCCGCCACTCTCGCTGCGTGCAACGCGGCTTTACTTTCAGCTACAGCCCTACTTTTTCTTACTTTGTTAGTCGGCTCGGAGGGAGAGAGGAGAGAGAGAAAAGGGGACGTTTGGGTCTTACCTTTAAATGTGTGCGTCGACCCTGTCCAAGGCTGCGGGGTTGTTAACGCTGTCGGTTATCCTTAAAGGGTAAAAAAAGAACCAGTTGAAGCTGCCGTGGTCGGTCTCACATCTCTCTCTCTCTCTCTGTCAGTCTCAGCCTCCAGACTGAAGTGGCACAGACCATAGCGATATCCATCCAGCACCTATCTCCGTGATGACAACACGCAGGGAGAGGGGGGAAGACTCCGCCCACCCGACGCTGGTAGAAACTCTCTCAACCTCACTCCCGTCCACTCTGACTAATCACTACTATCATAGCTTTGTGGGGTGGATATTGAAAGGACATTATAACGGACTCATGTCAAACTACAGGCTAAATGTGAACAATGAGCCTGCTATGTGAACTATAGTCCGGTGGCCTTGTTGCCATTCACTACAATACTAGTTTAGTCTATAAGCCCAATAAGCCCTACAGTGGCACCATCTGGTGAACTGTAGAAAAGTTGCTCCCCTCAAACTGTTCCTTAATAAATTATCATCTTCATATCCATTTGACCCGTGCTTGTAGGCTAATGTGTCGTGCTTTCTTGTTAATAAGTTATTTTGCACTTATATTTAATTTAATCTTCCTTCGTTTTAATTTGGAAACAGGCGTCCACAATTACCTGCATTTACAAAACACGAACAATACCTTCTTTTTTATTTTAATAAAACAGAAAAATAAGCAATATAATTGATATTTAATTCCGTTTTAGAGCAGCGTTATTCGTAAAGGCTCCCCCACCTGAAACTACATTTCCCAGGTATCCCGTGGCGTTCTGTGACGCAAAATTCTCGCGACAGCTGCTTGTTTCCATGGAGCCGACAGAAGCTGAAAGCTCGAGTTTGTGGATTAGCAAACAGCTAAATTAGTTAGCTCGTTGTTGCTGTTGTTGTTGTTGTTGTTGTTGTTGTTGTTGTTGTTTTAATGGTCACACGGCTCTCAGGATGTCAGGACGACAGGACAGCGGACAAACCGAGACTCTGTTTTCATTTGAGCTTTTTGTGGAGAATATCCGAATCGAGGTAGAAAGTAAAGTCTCCGACCCCGAGCTGGCTCTCGGGCTACGGCTGCTGGATTTTCCAACGCTGCTCATTTATCAGCCTCAGCCGGGCGGAGGTGGCGGCAACCAGCGAGAACATCATGGAAAGGATGAGCAGGGAGAGTGCGCCTTCAACAGGGGCAAGTCTTGTTTCTTCAAAATGAACCTGCACTCGCTGCACACCCAGCTATCTCACACCCCTCTCTATGCTCTGGTGCTGGATGTGAGAGAGGAGATCCCCAGATTAGTCGGGACCTCACTCATCTCACTGGCTAAAGTGATGGCCAGGATCAGGCAGGATGTGACTGAACGCGGCGCTTCTGCTCCATCCTCTCATGGTGAAAGGGGGCTTGTAGCTATATGCAACCTCACGGGGGAGAAAGTTGGATCTATCTCCTTGAGTTATAAACTGTTAAGTCTGGGAGTTAGTCTGCTGCCACACGTTTCACACAGGAAGGGTCTTGAAAGCATCAGTGTACACGAAAGCATCACAGAGAAAAACGTGTCTGCAGAATTATTGCCTCCTGACTGTGGGAATGTGTGTTCACCCACACCGGACCAGTCTGATGTGAGCCAGAACATCCAAAACAAAGAGCCATCAAATGATGTTACTTTAATAAACGAGGATAAACAAGACAGTGGTGTTTGTGTTGCCATGCAGACTGAACACAAAGGAAGAAGTCCAATGCCTCAGGCACTGAAAGAAAACAGTTTTGAAGAAGATTTAACCATATATTGCCCGCCACATCTCTTCTACAGTAATTCTGCGGAGGAAAAAAGCAAGAATGAAAGAGATAATTGCAAATTCCTGAATCTAGACTCCGAGGCTTTTACATTTGAAGACACATTCTCAGAGGACGAGACAGCTGAAAATAAAATGGAAAGTTCCCTAATGATGGACCAGAGAGTGAGACAGGGTGTAAAAACGTCAGGAAACCAGGAAACAAGTGGGGCGACTCCGAGTGTCCTCGGGGAAGCTTTGCAACAGTTGCCTCTACTGAATGCTCTTCTTGTTGAGCTGTCACAGTTACATAACCACAACCCACACCAGCCCTTGTCTATTCATCCCAATCTAGCTTGGATTTACAGGCCTGCTTCCACAGAGCCTTCAGACGGGCGTGGAAACACAACACGAAACACGCAAACCAGATCATCACAGAAAAGCAGACTGGGGACGAGTCCCCATTCAAAGCATTTACATTCCCCCAGATACTGCTCTACACCAGTGGTCAGGCCAGCATCTGTAAAAGTGAAAGACAAACAAGAAGAGGGTTTGATTGAGAGCGAACGCTCCGCTGCTTCTCAAAGGAAGAAGCTCGTATTCGGGTCAACTAAAACTTTTAATCTAAGGCTGAAGCAAATATCTCCTCTTAAAGTAAAACACCGTGAATGTGTGGAATTAATACAGAATCAAACTGCGGCCAAAGGAAAGACACAGTCAGGTAATAAGAAGTCCAGTAAAAGAAAATCAGCATTAAACAAGAGCTCCAGCCTGAATGAAAACATTGAGACAGTGATACAAAGCATCACAGTGGACTCTGCACTACATGAAACAATCACAGTAAAGCAGAAAACCCTGCACGGGGAAGTTCATGGTGAACAAGGCAACAACAGACACTCGGAGAAGCCTTCCCTTTCTGAAAGAGGCCTGAAATGTATTCACATCCCCAGTGTGGATGTAGCCCAAAACAAAGACAAGAGCGAGCGTCGCAGTGAATCAAATCAATCACAGTCTGAGTCTGACAGGCACGGAGAGAAAATTGAATCTTCAGGAAGCAGCAGACGCAGCAGCCCAAAATCTTCATTTTCAGACTCCAGCGGGGGAGGAAACGAGGAGGCAGACTACGCTGATGACTTTAACAGCCTCGAGCCCAGTGATGCCTACTCCCCTGACCCCGCGAGTAGCCCCGAGCCCTGCAGGGCCAAGACTCCCAGGTCTCCCGTCCGCCCCGACTTCTGCAACTCGGACTCTGGCTCTGAAGGGTTCCGGAGGAGAGCGGTCCTCCCTGTACCTGTCAAAGCCCCCAGCTCTCCACAGCGAGCCCTGAGGGGCACACACATCGTCCGGCCTCGAACCCACGCCTCGGCCCTCAGCTTTTCCTCCGAGGATGGTGACAGAGACTGGTCTGCTTCCTTACAAACCGTATGCTCCAGGAAACAGATTACGGGGAGCGGGAGAGTAGAGAGGAGCTCTGGCGCTGACAGTTTAATATCATCGAGAGGTCAAAGGAGCGAGACGAGCAAGAACAGCGGCCCGGTTCGAGGGTTTTCTGCAGAATCGATATCTTCCATTGAACCGCAGGAGGCAGAGGAGCTGGAGGATGAGCTTGGGTCTCTGGATTTCAGAAAGGAGTATCAGCATATCTCTAATCTAGTGGCCAACAAACTCCCTGGTTACACTATGTAAAGAAACAATATACAGTTCCACATTATGGTTACATAAATCAGATGTTGTGTACATTTTTAGATGTGTAATTGTGTCAGTTTTCATTTCAGTTATGATGTCTGACAACCATTTTCAATAAAGACAAGCTTTTCTGTGGAAATGATGTGATCATTTTACGTCTTAATCACTCAGTTAATACCAGACTGTTTGATAGACATTTGCATAAAGTGTTGGACCACGAGTCTTTCAGTAACATATAAGAGGATGAAAAATATCTCTATGAACGCCGTTTATGCAAATCATTTAACCTTTCAGCTGTCGTTTCCAGCAGAGTTGTCACAGGCTGAGCTCGTTGGGTAGCTCCGGATTTCAGGGTATTTCCTTTTAATACCACCCACTACTTTGCATTTTCCCCTTGATATTATTTGATAAGCAAAGCAGAGACAAGTATTTTGTTTATTTTAAAACTGGCAGTTGCAGTGGGATAACTGAACCTAAGTTATTTGCAGTTTTATGAATATTCTTATTAAGTATATTAACTCAAGTAATGTAATTAAGTGGAACTCTAAGGTACTTTTGAGTACTTCAGTTGTATGCTACTTTATAATTATACTGAACTACTGTGTGTTTTATTCTTCTACATTTATCTGACAGCTCTGATACTTTCAAAGATTTCAAAAGTCTACATTAAGCATTGAACAGCATTGTTGTACAGATATGTACACAAAAATACACATTAGACAAGTTCCTCAACCAATCTGCTACACCTGCATGCATTATGCACTATAAGCACGACTAGTCCAATAACATAATGTGAAACACTACTACTACTAATAATAATATTACTTTTATTTTATATAGCGTTTTAAAAGGTACTCAAAGGCACTTTAAATGTTTACAAAAGACAATAACAGAAACAGGAACGGCAATATCAGTAAAACAACAACTACTATAACAACAACTATAAATAGGAGAAGAAAAACAGCATAAAAAACAGGTGAACAATAAAAAGGATAGAAGGGGAGGGCTGACAGATCACAGATTAAAAGCAGATTGAAGTATGTGAGTTTTGAAGAATGGGAGTGAGAACAGCTTGACTGCATCCTGCATGACTTTGGACTATTTGTACACAGTAGAATTAGTAAAGTAAAGCAAATTAATACTTCACACTAAACAATGTAAGTGATTTTCATAGCCCGCTCTCAGACCCCGTTCAACCAGCGTTTGACCCTTTCCACTGATGTTGAATTTGCTCGTTAAATAAACAAAAACTCAATAAAAGTCTTTAGTCTTTCACTAAGTCGAGCTCTGGGGTCTAGTAGCAACCGCGCATGCGTCGACTCGCTGTGTACGGAAGCGTTAGCAGCATGTTGAATGGAGTAAACTGAAATGTACAAACACGTTTTTCTGACAGGACCTCCAGGTAACGCCTAACCCCGATGTGTGTGTCCGCTGCTGTTGAAGTAAAAGTCGATGTAAATGCAGACCAGTCAGTCAGCTGTCTTAACTCAGTAAATGTTAACGTTGCTTCTTATCAAAGTTAGCTCGTTTTAGCTATTTTTTGTTCTGATAATATCGAATTATATTGGTAACATTTTATGGTAACTATATATTTATGCTTTTCCTTAAAGTCCTTAAACAGATTAAAGAGACTTTCATACAAACAACTCCATTCAAATACTATTTTGAACCTCTTTTTAACCATCTTCCTATTACATATGTTTAATGTTGAATACATTTAAAAGATTTCAGAGCACTGATTAAGGAATGAGGATGCCAACATCACTAATGCATGGATTAAACATGTCCTAACATTGTACAGTAAGTCTCTGCAACCCAGTTTTGAATTGTGATATTGCAATTGTTTTACAAAGTCTCTTGTTTTGCTTACAGGTGTGGGCAAAACCACCCTGGTGCAGAAAGCCTGTGAGGCTTTGGTGTCATCGGGAGTGGGAGTTGAAGGGTTTTACACAGAGGAGGTCAGAGAGGGAGGCCGGAGAGTCGGCTTTGATGTAGTCACAGTGACAGGACAGAGGGGCCACCTGTCCAGAATCAGGTAGCAGGGTTGTCATCCTCTCTAAATCAAACTCTCTTTTATCGTGCTGTTTTAAGTAACCTTCGTCCTGCTTTACCTTCCAGAGACGTTCCCGGTTCATCTCATGGCAGACGGGAATACACAGTCGGGCAGTATGTGGTTGACTTGCCTTCATTTGAAAACCTGGCTCTCCCCCTCTTCAGAAATGTAAGAAGGCAGCACATGTCTTTTAGAACTCATCAATAGATCACAGTAAGCTAAACACTCCCTTTTCTCCCGCACTTAACAAACCATCAAACCTTTGATTTTCTCAGAATTGATGGAATAATTGGAAGCTTGCAAACATATAAATTCCAGAGTGACATTTTTAGTGTTGGTGGTGCCGTCTGGCTGTCACTGACCGCGATTAATCCGGCATGTAAAGTGAGCCTGGAGTGACGCCTGCACATGTGCTGTAAAGGAAGGTGTCTGTGCCTATGTGGCGCATACTCCACTTTCATCTCACTTAAAGCGTCTCTGTAATCACTGCAGATCACCCATTGCATGTAGCATGCAAACACTGTAGCAGGCATGCTATCAGTGAATGGGATTCACATAACATGAGCCATTAAGATGATGAGCTTTTCCCACATGTTAGGCAAGTCACACGTCCATCGATGAAACCGGTTTCATATTTTTTATCAATAAATGTCTAAACTGAGCTAGTTTCCCTTTATTTCTAAACCATAATTAACACCAAGCATACATTTGTGCATGCATTGACAGTGCTCTCGCTTAATGCTAACATCCGCCGTCTCCAGGTGGGGTCAGCAGATGGGGGCTGCAGGAAGGTGTTTGTCATTGACGAGATTGGAAAAATGGAGCTCTTCAGCCAGTCGTTCATCAGGTCAGTGAGACAGACTTTAGACAGCTCTTCCTGCACCATCCTGGGCACCATCCCCATCCCCAAGGGGAAACCACTGGGTCTTGTGGAAGAGGTGCGGAGCAGGAGAGATGTCAAGCTCTTCACGGTGAGCAAAAACACTAGCCGGCTTTATAGGGAGAAAAGGGGATATTTAGGTCAGTTTAGGAGCTTTTAAATCTCACAATAGCTATAGGAGACTGTTTACACTGTATCCACTTGGTCTTAGGCGGACAGTCAGTCTGCTCTCTAACGCTGAAGGGGCATGCCCTGCATTATCCCTCTCGGATTAACTCTAAATCATGCGTGACTGATTCAACAACAAAGGGTGGTCTCAAATGTCAAAATAATTTATCACGGAAGACTCAGTTATGGATATTGTCATGCAAAATAGTCGCTATGCCGGGGTAGTTATTATATCAAACAAGGTTATGAGGCAGTGTAAACATTTCTGGCAAACATATGATTTGTAATTTTACTTATAAGACAGTAGGTCAGACATAAGGTCTTTATAACATGTTGTTTAATCGTCTCAGAGTGGACATTGTATTATCTGAGGCTTAGTTCCTACAGGACATTTGTCACAGTTCTCATGTTATTTGTCTTTGTCAGCTCAGGTTGTATAATTTGACATTATGTGCAGACGACTAACTTGCAATCATTAATGTTTTTTTTATGCTTATTTCTTTTCCCACTTAGGTGTCAAAGGAAAACAGAAATGCCATTCTGCAGGAAATCTTAGCAGCACTACAAAATTGTCTCAAACACACAACCTAATATGGAGATTGAGAGCCACTAAAAGGGGAAAACCCTGCAGCCTGTGTGTATTTTTGTGCTGACAACAAGTTTTATTTGTGTAAGTGCATATAGTAGTACACACAGCCAGACTATAACAGGGTTGTGACCTAACTTAAAGGGCATACTGAACTGCTGAAGGAGTTAGTATGTCACATGCATGTATTTATGTACACTTTTCTTTTTCTTTTTTTCTCATACAGCCTTAAAGTGGTTTGCATGGTGAATAATTGATTGTGAGATGGAACACAGCAGGGGAATTGTTCAGTTAGTGTGTAAATACCCCGTGCTCTCAGAGTCAAAGACTGCTAGTCCTCAAAACGGCTCTGTTTCATTTTTTATTAGACTGTTGGTCTAATAGAGACTCCAGCAGGCATTTCTCATTTATTAGTGTATCATATTAATTTGCTCACAAGGACGATGGCATTTCTTTTATATAAAGGTGCAAACAAAGCAGTGCCCCTGTTTATTCTTTTAGTTCTTTTCTACGTGAGCCTCCCTTGTGGATGTGCTCATTGAAAATCAATCAGTATTTAACAGGGCAACTATGTCCAATCCTTTCATGGTTTATTTTTCCACTAGCATGAAGAGAGAAATTGAAAAATAAACAGTTACTGTCTTCCAGCAATGAGAGTGTGTTTCTCTGGGAATCATTTCTTATATTTAAAGATAGAAACTGTGGAGCAGTTACAAATGTTTTCATACTTAAGATAAAGTTCGATCTTGTTTTCATGTTCAGCAGTACAAATAAATATGATTCACGTTAGTTTCAGGGATTTTATGCTCCATCCTGGGTATTTCTATCCATCTTGCGGTCAGATTACGTTAACGGATAAACAGTGTAATATAGGATTTTTCCGAGTTCAGAGTGCATTTATGTAAGGATTTATTCCAGTGGTACAGTTACAAATCCAGTCAATCTCTGAAGGGTTTTCCAGCTCTAGAACGAGACATGTTGTCAGATATAAAGTAAAGTAAAGCTCTATTCGACTGTCAACAAACAGCTGCAAATTAAATCCGCCATGTTAATACTTTTTGCCCAACGTGCATTTGTTTTTAGAGAATAAATTAGCTCAAGAACATTCAAGGTTCACGAGTTTGTTCGATAGTTGAGATCAGACATAGGCTCGCTGCAAGTGGAATTTCACTCAGCTCTGCGTGAGCTCCAAAGTCTGGCAGTTGTATCAAGGCTTTTAATAGAAACCCTCTGGCAAAGATATTTGTTTCAACACCAAAGCATCTTCAGGTCATTTCAAAGTGAAAATACATGGAAGGATTTTTGGCTTGTTTTTTAATACCGCTTGTATAACTGATGTAACCTGTCAGGTTGGCTGCAGAAAGAGCTGCCAGCTGTGATCTGCGTCAGACATGCTGCTGCGCCAGCATCTGTTGTGTGGCCACCACTGACGTACCTCTGGATCAACTGGCACTAACAGTAACTGAATTGGCTTCAAAGTCAACATTGCAATAGTCGTATTTTTGAACTAACATGGAAATATGACGTTAAATTGTTATTGTAGGCACAGGCCTAACAGGCAATTAGAGTTTGATGGTATGGTCCATGGTGGGGCAAGCCAGGCATTACAGCTGAAGGGGTTGGCTCTCCTGATTGGAAGGTGATCCTCAGCACCCTGCAGCAGGGTAGCAGATGGATTATGTAACAGTGACAAAAACCTTGCCAGATTTACCAAGTAAAGGGTGTGTGTGTGTGTCTGTGGATGCATTTGATGGGTTATGATGTAATTAGCAACCATATTGTTCATATTGTGCTATTATGGGAATAACATTTACAGCCGTGATTTTGTGGAGTAGCTCAGAACATTTGAAAAAAAAATAAAAAATAGAAATCAAACAAAGACATCATGAGTCAACCTGAACACCACACCTCGAGAGTGTGAAGCAGAGAAGTTGTAACAGTTAGTTTGGATAAATGCTTTAAATACAAACAACAATATTTTATTTGATAAAGTAGCAAAGAATTCAAAGCCATGAAGAAGATTTCCATACTCCAAACCTATACTTTATGCTAACATTGTCCAGACATGTAGCCATCATGCTATTTTACATTGTAAATACCATGGGTTTGTTCATACATAACAATGGTGCGACTGTAACAATTGGATACACTGTCAGGGGACTTGAATGTATTGATGCGTCCTAAGCAGGAGGGGTGTTGTGTGAAAAGCCATATAGAATAGCTTGAATGAATATGAAGTGAATTAATATCCATATCGCACAGATGCATTCGCACCGTATCTGTGGGACAGATGTCTATGTGGCACCCTGTACCCTTTATCCCTCCACACATGGAGGACACAGAAATGCAAGGAGCTTACCAACAATCCAGGACAAAAGGGAGCTTGCTGGTGGGAGGGAGGGGGAGTGGGGTGAATGGTGGGGAGCTGCTGCTTAGATGAGGAAATTTCTCTCCAGTTATTGCACTTTGTGGTACCAGCCCAGGAGGCACAATGACAGCTGCAGAGGGCGCACATATTATGATATATTGTCCGAGAAGCCCTTGGCCAAAATGCCAAACACAGCTGATGAAAATCTGACATATTGTTCAAAGACCATGAGGGAGATACACAAAAGCCTGCTCCAGCTTTCCCAAAGCCGGACTTCAAATTCACTGTTTATTTCCCAAGATGATGGCACGATTTACTGAAAGATGTGGAGCTAAAGCTTCTTAGCATCTGTGATGTCAGACTTCTCAGTGCCAAAGCCTGCACATGGTAAGCACTTAGCAATACTCCCTTAAATCAAAATAATTTCTCAGCATGTACTGGGTATGTGAGTTCTCACAGTTTTCTGCCACAAGGCTTTGGATGGCCCACAGGCAATGTGATTTCAGACATTCCCAGAAAGCTATAATTGAGCTTTAATTCACATCATTGTGCTAATGGGCATAACTAAGGTCTTGACAGGTGGGCAGTTAATGTCAAATGGGAGCTGAAGGTTGTGGAAATGAGGCCATTTGATCTGGGTTCCTAACCACTGTTCCACCCTGCTGCCCACCACCGATGATTCCTAAACCACTCTCCCCATTACATCACTTTCACGGGCTCCCCAGGGCTATGGAGGCAGACAGTGTTGGGTGTCAAAGCCTGTGTCCAGCCCACTAGCACACCCCTCTGCGAGCCCACCTTTTGAGCCTGAGGATCAAAGCTTAAAGAAGCACAGGAATGAAAATAAATTCTCTATTATTCATAAAATGAGTAGCATTTGTTATTTTTCAAAAATACTGGCACCAATGTAAACTTATTTTGATCTTATGGCTCAACTATAAAAACAAAGAGCAGCCATTAACATATCACTCTACAAATCTGTGATGTGTAAAGAGCCAGGTATACTTCCAGTGACACAAGGACCAATAGCAGGGGAGGGGTCAAGGCCCGAAGACATTCCTCTCCTGTTACAGTACCTTGATGGTTTCTTGTGATCTCCGGATCCTTTTGAATGACTGTGGTAACCCTTCTGAGTCACTCTTCTCACCTGACTGCATAAACAAAACCTGGACTTTACCTCACCTTTGGGAGGATACCGTGTGTCATGTTGGCTGTTATTAGTGGTTAGACGGGAAATGCAACAACCAAAGTGTGGAGCAGTACGTGGGTGTTGTTGGGTTGTGTGGTGTACGTATCCATCGCCCAGCCGTATAATCACACACTCGGAGGGGAAGCCTCCATATTGTGGTGACACACAAGCAGAGTGAGTGCTTCGCTGTCTCTGCAAGGGAAGGGGCTGAATCCCCCAGAGCTGTGAAGGAAGCAGTGGGAGCTGTCAGCAGATGATGTGGAGGTCAGAGGGCACAGAGAGGACACAAAGATCGGGAGCATGGTGATCAATCGATGAGGTATTGCTGCGTCCCTGTGGGCCGCAAAGGATGTGGCTGTCATTCCAAACTTGACAGAGAGGAAAAACACACAAAAACTGTCTTTATTGTGGAGGGGAAAACCCAAATGTTTGTAGTCCACGCATGTCAAGAAAATAGGTGCCATATGTGCATGCAGCAGCTATGTGAATTTGTCATTTTTTTCCTGGATGTCATTGTGGATTATTAACTTGTCTTGCACAAAGTACACTAAAAGATCATTGCAGTGGCTCATGGACAAGACTTATACTGGGATTTTGTATATGAACTAAACAAATGTGCGGTACATTTTACAGTACTGTGAGGTTGAGTCACACAGCCTTCAGCTCTATAAAGTCTCAATAATGATTCACAGATTGCTGACCTGCCATGATTAATGCCTCTGCTGGATGCTTTTGACAAATTTTCACCACAAACGCAGAGCTGTGCGAGTTGTTTCCATTCCATACACTACTGTAGCTGCTCTGTGCATGTGTGTACGCGTATATACATGCCAAGCCCACACTGTGACTTTTGGCAGTGCTATATGAACTGAAAGGTGGTGCAGTGGTTGTGCCAAAACTCAATGCTTCTTCTTCCTTTGCTTTTGGAATTTATACATTTGTGATAGTGCTACTCTACTAAAGTGTGTACCTTGCACTGACAGTTGTGCAGATCAGTGTGTGTATAGTGCGATCTGAAGGTGTGTTGCATGGCACGTTCACTTCAACTGACAATTCAGCTACTTTCAGCGCTCATATACAAATTGCATACAGGGCTTAAACTTGAAATTTTTAATGCTTTCAGCAAATACACCTCAGCTGATTTCAGCTATTTTTGGCTCTTACACTTCAGTGCATTTCAAACCCAGACTGTGCTTAAACTTCAGCTGACACTTCACCTGCTTTAAACTTCAAATAAGCACGCACACTCAAATGTTCTTAAGAGAATTTAGCCTTATTTGATTGTTCGTGTATTCCAAATCTTCCCCCAAAAAATAAATGTACACCAAGTGACCTATTTCTTTTCATCTCTGTGGTAACTAATCTGTCCCTCAGAGATCTTGTCGGGAATCACTGAATATTCTGTAATGCTAAACAGCATTTTGCAAACTCTTTATGCATATGCCTAATTATGCAGCTATAATGTGTGCAGAGAATGCTTGGTTCCTCAGCATACATGAAATGTTGATTATGGATTTGTTTGAATCCCGTCGTTCAATGGTGGCAGGTTTTTAATATGCAAAAATAAGGCTAATGATGTGAAGATGTCCCTAGCCTGGCCTGGCCTTTAATCTCTCTCTATTCATCTAATCCCCTTTCCTTTCATAGCCTCCAGAGATGACAACAAAGGTTGAATAATATTTTCACCACAACTGTATTAAAAATAAATATCTTCATCCATTAATCGCAACTGAAGCAAAACATTGGTTTTTAATGTTTTATTATGAATAGTCTTTGCTACAATTAGTATTCAAAAAGTGTAAATACCAGACAAGCTCGAGCAGTATCAAACTGCTGATTTTAGTATAAGAAAATGTTTTGGTGCACCACACACTGTACATGTGAAGGAGGGGAGCTGTAATGATCTGGTACAGTAAGTGTCACGAGTTCAATATATTGTTAATACTTGGTCATAGCTGAGTCATCACTGTTATCATTCTCTAAAGTTGGTTTGTCCATTGAGCAGGTGGGTTTACTTTACACCAACCGTTAAACCAAAAACACAACAATCCAAAAAAATACAAAAGGAAATAAGAAATACTGGTAAGACTGGTG